ACGGAGTTGACCAATGATGCCAGGAATGTAAAATTTTTTTCTATTTTAATTTGGGGAATTTCTACCGCAGTTTAGCAGCTTGTAAATAGTTTTTGCTCAACACAATAAAAACAACCATAAACAAACAACAATATCCATCACTTAAAAAACGCAGCGTACTCAATTTCGCATATATAAACATTTCGCATATATAAACAACTAGCAACGCCATTGTCGTCATCATTGATTTCGGCATCACTGCCAGCCAGATTGATGCGATCCCTCTGTCCTTTTTATTCCACGATTGCTACTGTCAAAACGACCAATCAGAAACTGGCTCTGATTTGACAGCAAATTGGCTCAAAATCGCTACCCGATTGTCAAGTTCCGTCCCAGATCTTAGGAATCTAAAAACTGTCAGTATCAACTCTCTAGGAAGGAACAACGAAGACTGGATGGAGAATAGATACGACTTTTTCAAGTATTTGACCCTAGGCGTAATTCATAGCAGTTTGGTGATCCGGATCTTCGTCTAGGATGGATTGTTCTTGATACAGATGGTTCAAGCTTGAACAATCAAATGGCCAACTGTGTTCCAAGCTAATTTTAGAGTGTTCTATCAAGCTGCTCTAAAATGCTTTAAAGTCGACGACATGTTCATCAAAACTTGTCTGGGAGTGTGTACAATCACTTCAAAAATTGTTTTGTTATAATCAAGTCAACTTATATACCATAAGTTCATAGTGCCAGAGACCTTCTGTGGCGTATCGGCTGCATCTCTTAGAATGGAGCTAAATGCGTGGGAATCTTCAAAAGTGGTGGAAAACTGTAAGAACACTTCCATTGCTAGGCAGTCGAAGCGATTAATTAATCCAAGCTTTTCTGCTACAAAATACTGAAATTTTCTAAGAAACATATAAGCATATATACAGGTCTTATAAAAGGTCATTGTCCGAGTCGTTATCACTTGAAGTTGATTGGAAAACTTCAAGATGATGTATGTCGCATCTGTGGCATAGAAAAAGAATACTCGGAACACTTGCTATGCCACTGTCCGGCAATCAATAAAAGGTGTAAGTTCTTCGACAAGGGGCTGATAGAACCCTTTGACATTTGAAGAACAACTCTCAGTACGGCAGTGCACTTTATTCGAAGTGTAATGCTGTGCTGGAATAATGCTATTATTCAAACGATGGCGATCACTGCTAACAATAGTGATACCACCGGTGAACCGACATGCCACAGGAGCATTTCGTTTGTCCACAATTCGATTTGTCAAACGAGCGATTCGAACTTTCAAACGGGCGATCAGATTTGTCAAACGAGGTAAGACGCAAACCATGACAATATAAATTCTACGTGGATTCATGTCCTTGCTCATGATATGACGCGATCGGATGAGTAGATGGCGATAGTGTTTAACGTATTTTAAATATGGCGTCTTGAACAATAATTTGAATGTTGATTGTATGTTCTGTCACGTCGGTTCGTCGGTGGTGATACGACATCTTGATATAGCTACACTGTACACAAACATCATCCTCTGATCGAATGAAACCTCAGACAATTCAAAACAAAACACCGAAATCGCTTTTTCGAATGATGGCTGCAACCGGATGACGGTTGTTTTGGAATCAGATGATTTTCCTCTCGAATACAGGATGAAAATTGTTATGAGAAGGGATAGGGCCTTCAGTTGAAATGCGTAATGCTCTCTGTAGAATGACTGTCATACTAAATGGAAATGCATATGGTGTTGGTTCAGCCCCATAACGCAAATCATTCAAAACGATGATGTAAATAATTCTATCGAACGTCATTTGCTGATCTGAGCTGACAAACGAGGTGGAAGCATATGCATCGCTATCAGAGCTGTTACGAACATAGGTAAAGGATGAAAACCAATGTTTGGCTAGTTCGTGGTGGAGGAGGTTTTCTCCATCACGAAAAAATTTGGTATCCATAATGGAATGGCTTATTATGGCTTTTAAGTATGGAAATGTAGATAATCAAATTATAAATCTTATTAAAAGCAATTGCATGTCACACTATTCTTAAATGTTTGTCCTCTGAGTGCCATATGTTGTATAGCTAATGTTCAAACGAAAATCATCCTGTATTTGGATGACAGTCATATGGATGTTCATCATCTGACGACGAATTAAACCATAAGAAAATCATCCGAAATTCGAATGCATATTGTTAAAGGGCTCTAGCAATGCAATAATCATTCGAAGTATTGCGGATGTTTTGGTTCCGTGTAGAGATAAAAAAAATGGGGAATATATCACAATAGATCAGAAAAATGATCGCTGAGATGAAAATGCCCGACAAGGAAAAATTAATGTACATAAAGTTCAAATTAGAAGAATGGTTGCATTGCTTGTTTCATAACGTTCAATACGTGCGAGTATACGATCTGCCACCAGATGTCCCGGATTGCAATCTATCGTTGATGCTAGGGAAATATGGTGATGTGAAGCGTGTTCTTCGGGTGAAATTCCCTGCGGACTTGGGCCTCAACATGCTCACTGATGTACGGGATGTATAGATGGACGTAAAAAGGAAATTCGAACCTCGCTGCATTTAATTTCCTAAACATTCTTATTCGGCTTCCCTACAATAATCTTGGGAATCTCTACGGTATTCCCTTATAATATTCTAAATAACACTCTAAAAATGCTCTACAGAAAACTCTACAATTCTCTTCGAATTATTCATAGTATTCACAATATTTCGCTTAAAATTTTCGACATAATTGTCTTGGCAATCTCCAGAATTCTATAGGATTTCTCTTTAAAATTTTACTGAAAATTACCCCATAATTCAAAAAGAATCCTATCTAGAATCACCTTAAAATTTTACTCAGAACTAACTCAGAATTTTCCCTATGCTCCGGAGATCGTGACTTGGAACCACTATATGGATGTTCCCATGGGTTGTTGTCCGTTACGCTGATGCTTGTTAACATAGTCTGAGTCTGGAATATTTTCCAGTCAATGACATTTGGGATTTGTATCTATTTTTGTTCCATCTCCCGATCAATAGAGAGTGATCATAAGCACCTCTATGTTTGGAAGTCATTGCCAGCATTCCCGAGCCGACTAAAAATAGCTGCGTCAAAAGCTAACGTTATTTGGTGGTCAAAAGGGTGAAGTTTTTTTGGTGGTTTAGACCGAGTTCGATAGATTTATCGAGTGTTTCATACTTCTTAGTAATTGTTTGAGGTTTCGATTTTGGTCCTAGTCAAGTCTACCGAAAAGAACGTGTTACAGTGCTGCTCCTTTTCAGCAGCTCTTTGCATGTTGTGTTTATAGTTGGAGCATAGCTAGGATCCCGAAAGACGGGGCAGAAACTGAAAAACCATTTATACTGACCGAGGAACCGGCAATACAAGCAAACCAAACGATGATGCCTAAAGTCTGGTTCACGTAGAATCCGGTTCTTTGGAATTCCCGCCATCACCTGCTGCTCACTGGACTGGTCAACCTCACCGGCCATTTTTTTTCCAACATCGAGCCATCTGTGCAGTGTCCTGAGTTGTCTTTCCAGTTTCCTTTAGTTCAGTTCTTTCAGTTGGGTGGATTGATATCCTTGACGATGAAATCCATCTTATTGTCGCGGTACCACACACCACTGTGGCACCTCCCGACTGTAATGGCAACTTGCCAAATCTGGCCAGAACTTCACTGGACCTTTGTGAGCCTTAATGAAAGGTAGTATACATTTCTCCAGGCACTCTTGCTTCTAAATCTTCGAGTCCATCGTTTTGTTGGTGATGAAAAGCTGGGTTTTGAGTCCGCAGCAGCAAAATCCTTGCCAGATCCTCAGCTTTAAAATGCCAAACTTTTGATATTAAATTCTAGAACAATTATGGAAATGGTGAAACGCCTAAATAACCCATTAATCATAAAATTGGGTTAGATTATCTAAACGAATAGCAACTATGTAAACGTACCATTAAAACGATGGAAACTTCTTTAATCTTTTAGCTTTGAAGAACGTCCTTTTACTGCATAGCTACTAAGATTGACTGTCCTACCCATGTTATTTTAATTAGATGCACGGAGCGACGGTCAAGCGTCTAGAATGTACTTTCAAAAGGAGCTTCTTCAGGAAACTTATTTTAGAATCTGATTTCTTATTCTTTTGCTTTAGTATAGATACTTTCAACCCTGAGCTGGTTCGTCTCTTTTTTAAAGCTTCTTTTAGAAGCCTTTTCTTTAGAATAATTTCATTGTTTTAACGTTACACAAGCCATTTTCTAATTTTGAATTCAAATAAATTTTGCACGGAATTCCAAACCAAGTTTTCTGCATTTCTGCCACTTATAGTTTGAGAAACGCTGATCTAGATGATCGCAATCTGAAAAATCTTCCCAAAACAATACACAGAAAATATGAAGCAGAAAAACATATACGTTACCATAGGTATATATTATTCCTTTAATAGATACTAATTGTTCAATGCCAGCCTAAATTCCAGTTCTATATACATACGACAATTTCGGAAATGCATTACACACACACACACACATACGAACGAACGGTTGCATGTTTTGTTCTCGATATCTTAATACTAATTTATAAAAGCTGAACAAACCGTCGCAAAGCTACTTAGTAGAAAACTAGATAACAAGCACTACAATCAAAGCTAATAATCCTATTGAATAGCAATAGAAACCCTAACAATAATAGCACAATAAATACCACCAGGAAGAGGCAATGCTGTTTCGATTCGCATCTATTAGCGACGAAGTAGACAGACTTCAAAGATAGAGGAAGTATACATGATCTAAGTAGCAGTAAACAGTAGTAACAGTAATATGTAAGGTAGGTGTAGTGTGATAGTACGAGTACTAATGAAAGGGACAGAGTGCAACATTGATGTGTGTTTAATATGTGTGACACAGAGCATAATGTGCGCGAGTGACGACGGGTACGCGCCAATAGGTAAATATGATCCTACACCACACACGCAGAGAAAACTCCCACCACCCGTCAGCCGAGATCTTGCTGTACCTCGGACCGATAGATTGCTGCCCGATAACTGTACCTGTTGGAGGCGCTGACACCAGTCGTCACCGTCGTCGTCGCCGCCGTCGTCAGCGTCGTCGCCGTCGCCGTCGTGGTGGTAACTGCGTTGTTAACCATGGTCATGTTTGCACTTTCTCCACCGAGTTGGCTCTGCTGTCCCAGTGGTTGCTGCTGGATGATGGTTTGGTTGGCGCCTGCGCTTCCAAAACCACTACCTTCCGAATTTTGTCGGTTTCGTTGGAGGATTTCGTCCGATTCCAACAAAACACCACTTTCGCCCAGGGTAAGTAGATTTTCTAAATCCAGCGACTGATCGGAGTTCATCCGAGAACTTAACAGATAATAGTACGTTTTGTAGCGCTTCAACTGCGGGTAGGAAGACGATTATTAGTGATGCGGTCATATGGGACGGGATATTTGACATACCTCATAGAGCAGATAAGCCTCCTTTTCTTTGTAGTTTTGCAACGCTAGTCCCTTGGTTGGAATGGTTGACCGCTTGTGTTCGGCCAGCAGGTTCTCCAGTTTATTGACTTGATCTTCGTGCGAAGCCAGTTGTTCTCGCTGCAAAAAAACAAAGCCAATTCATTGTGATACTCTTGAAAGCCTTCGAAAATACCTAGGTACTCCACTTACCAGTAACAACTTCGTGTGGGTGCAGGGAAGCAGCGGCCGCTGGAAGCGCTTTTGACTACCAACACCTCCTTCTAGCGGTGGCGCCGAGAACGACGCGCAAACAAAATTAATTGTATCGATCCACGACTGCAGCTCCTTGGAGTCGCTCGTTTGGAATAGGTACTCGGACTGGTCAGCCGTTTGCAATCGGAAAACGTGCTGTTTTTTGGTGTAATCGCTGGCCTTCGTCGCCAGGGCATGGTGGATGCGAATCGCATTGTGGACATTGTCCGACATTTGGTTTTTGCGGAAACCGTGCTCGTCTTTGTGCAGATACAACACGAGATCTCGAAGCGTACAGTAGAACATTTTCCACGAACGCTTCCCGAACGGGGCTGTAAAAAAAGCACAACAACCTGCGTCATAGGCGTGACTGTGGTATGGGCGTGGTCGGAAACGTTAGTGTTTTCAAACCAAACGGGTGCAGATTAGTATTTTAGTGCATGCATCAAAACTACTCTCTACCGGAAGATTTTAGTCGTAATAAATTGGAGGTCGGTTGAAGAAAGGGTTTCAGATTCAGATTGGGGGGCATCCAAAATTCTACTGTACACCACCTTTGGGCAGTGGCAGCAAATCGCACTCTACTTACTTTTCTTGTAGTTTGTGTCGTAGCAACACTTGCGCATTACGTAGCCCTTCTTGTATTCGATCGCAGCCGGTTGCGGAGGATCCAGGAAAGGATTAGGTCCCACTGGAGGCCCTTGCAGGCTTCCACCAGTTCCACCACCGTTTCCTCCCATAGTGCCGTCATTTCGGCCACCTCCGAGCTTCTGCTGATCGGGTGAATCATCATCCCTAGAGATAAACGGTTAGTCAGAAAAAACTGTTTTACGTTACTTTAGTGCTAGAGCAATCTTACAATGCCCACTCCAAAGGCTGCGTTTTGATTGCCTGGTACAGCTGCTTGAGAATATCCTTCGGGAAGTTCTCACCGTCGTTCAGTTCGCTCAGATTTTCGATAAACTCCGAGCATGTCATCTTCCGGCCAATGTTCGGGCCGTGCAGGTCCGTGTTGAGTAGCATGATTGCACATGTAAGCGTATGAACGGCATCTGCAATGGTGACCAATTTCAATCAGCAATTCACGCGATTATACTTTGCTCGTAGTAACGTACCTTGTGAATTGAAAGATCCCGTATTGCAGTCGAGATAACGCTTGGAGAAATGTACTAGCACCCGTTCGCGTTCTTGAGTTTCTCCCGAGAGGGAAAACTGCTTCAGGAACAACCTCAGAGCTTCATCGAGTGTTAACCGCTCGAACAGGAAAAACTTTAGGTATTCATCGGCCACGGCACGACTGAAATCGTTGCTTAAATAGAAGAAAACATCGAGTTAGTCTAACAAGCGATGACAGTCAATCGACCACATACTTTTTGCTCAGGTGTCGTGAGACATCGCTCTTTTTAAATCCCTCTAGGTAGTACAGGCGTTTTGCAAGACGCTCGGCAGATGGAAGATCTACTGCTTTTGGCGAGTAGTGGAATGAATGTAGCGAATCCACATCGCTACCATCGTCTGATACCGGCGGCGAAGACTCCCGACCTCCGTGCATATATTGCCCATCTTGACCGAAGAAAATTGTAGGCGTATCTTCGTTCAACGTTACCAACTCGTCTTCCGAATCTCTTAGTTCGGAATAGCGCATACCTTCATGATGCTGATTATACATTTGCTGTTGTAGCTGTTGTTGCTGTTGCTGCATTCCCTTAACCTGTATCACAATCTTATGATCACGGTCACGATCTCGATCGTGCACTCGATGCGTTGTCTCCGAAACCAATATCGTTGAATCGGAATCACTGGGATCGCTGATGGCCATCGCGGCCAGATCCCGCGTACTGAGCAAATCATGCTCATCCTGATAGTCCGGGCTAGAAATGTTCGATACCGCCTCCGATACGCTTTGATCCATACCGCCACCTCCCCCAGGCCCGCTTCCGTTCGGGCAGCTGAGGCTTTGCAGATTACTGTGGGTACCACTTCCGCCTCGGCCACCGTCGAAGCCACTGTTGCTGTACCCATTGTGGGTATGATCATTGGCACCTTTGGAACCGCCCGACGAAGACATCACAGACGAAGACACGGACGTGGGCGAAGCAGGACTATCGCTGGCTGACCGCTGCGGCGAGGAACTCATCGAACTGGAGTGGGAAATCGGAGAGGTAACCATGCCGGCTGCGGCACCACCATTGCTTTGCAAAACCGGTGCATTGTACGTCCACACTATCCGATCGTGGTCGGGACCCTAGGGAATTAATGGAAAGCGATGTTAATGATGTGTGGAAGATTGTCGTTTAAACATGGACGTTGGTTTTTGCATTGATTTTACATTGGAAACGGGAAACAGAGTAGGCGTAGCAACATGAGACCTGTTGAAAAAGCTTAAGAAATAATTTCCAACTTAAGTTCTGGTATGCCACAGATGCTATCCAGTTGAGCTTAAGATCCAATCCAATCCAAAAAGCTGATGTGCCAATGCAGAAGAGCTAGGGACAGCGGCTCCCAAATTTTCGATGATTGCAACCAGGACTCTACATTTTCGAAGCTGTACAATGAACACGTATTTTGTTTCTTTCATACTAAGTGTTCAACGCATCATTTCTATAACGCCTTGCTAGACTTTAGTCGTTATATTCATAGTCTGGCGGATAGAATCTCGGGAACCAATCGAGTTGTCAAATAGCGGAACCAATAGAGCAAAAAATCACGACTAACAACAGAAAAGAGCACATCAGCTATTGCGAACAAAACTTCGGAAACCCTTTTCTCGTGACTCAAGGCTCGCCTACGCAAACTAACACCATCTTTGGGTTGAGGAAAGTTTCCCCTATCCGATTATGCCGTTAATTTGCGTTCGATTGGCGTGGAAAGAATAATCAACGTTTGTTTATAAAAGTTGATAGTACCTTTTCAATTGTTGGTCTAATATTGAATTGGTTCCACTTTTTGATAGATCGAAATTCTATCCGCCAGACTATGAATATAGTGGCTATAAGCTAGAATATCAGCACGAAACGAAAATGAAAAAGAAGCACGCTTAGAACGAAAGGCTGGCTGTGGATTTTCTCGTTGTTGCTTTGCTAATCGCTTTCAATGAAAGCAATGTCACTTTTCGAGTAAAACGAAACCTCATTTTGGCATTCCATCCCCTTGCACTTTTTTTTTCATTGATTTGTTCTCCGTCGATCTTGTTTTCCGTGCTGAGCACCAATGCTACCGACGCCAGGGAGGCAGCTCCCACACCTGGACCCAGCGTTGCCAGATTGTTTTCAAGCCTATCGGTATCAAATGTTTAAAAAATCGGTATTCACTATTTTAATTCGTTTTACATTGTTGCCTTTTTGTAGGCGAAAATTCAAACCTTTGGACTAAGAACGAAGTAGTAAGTCGGAAGAAATTTCCGGGAATATTTGAACTAGTCTCTTAATGATACCGAAAAAACTTCCAGAGAATGAATGAAGAAGATCTTGTGGTGGAAGTTTGCAGGAAATTCTTAGAAAAACATCCGATGAGGATTTTCCAAGACAAATATTGAGAAACTTCTGGCGAAAACTTTAGAAACTGTCGGAAAAAATCAGATAACACACCCAGGAAACAAGAAAAGTTTTGGAAATTGGAAGGCAATTCCAGGGGAAGTCATAAGAAGCTCGGAAAAACCTTCCAATAGAAGTCGGAAAAAAAACCTACGGAGAATGACTTATGGAGAAACTTCCAGAGGATGAAAGAAACTTCTTGGAGAACTTCCTGGAACACTGGGAGAAACTTACGAAGATAGATTGGAAGAAACTTCTGGAAAAAGGCGGAAGCCAGAGGGCTTACGGAACAGAAGGAGAAGTTGGGAAAAATCTGGAAGAAATAGAATTCTGGGCGATTTTAGCTACATTTCCTGAAGTTCCTTACATGATCAAATGATCCAGCAATATTCCTGATATTTATAAAACATCCCTGAAATCCCACAATTTCTCGGAAGTTTTCAGAGCATTCCTGAAATGCACTTCGGAATATTCCTTAATTCTTTGGAACTCCTTGAAAGTTCTAGCAATTTTCCAGAAATTAATGGGGCAGTTTTGAAGTTTACAAAGTTTTCATAAACCTCTGGGAACTTTGCTGAAGTTTTTGGAAATTCCCTGAGTTTCTTGGAACTCCTTTAAAGGTTAAATTTTTTTCATGAATTGGCGTGTCCTGATGTTCTCAGAGTTTCCCTAAAGTTACCTCAATTCTGCTGAAACAAATGGAAGTGTCATGAAAACCATTAAGTTCCTATGAAGTTCTTCGGACTTGTGAAGTTTCCAAATTATTTCAGATGTTTCCTTCAGTTCACGGGAGTTCTCTGGACTTCCCTGAAACTCCCGGGTTCTCAAATTTCAACAGCAATTAATGAAACTGTCTTTAATTTATCGGAACTTACCACCCTTACATATCTTTAAAATTACCCAAAAGTGCGAACTATTCTGCAGTTTAAGAATTTCTGAAAAGATCCTGCAGTGTTCCTGAAGCTAATGGAACCGCAATAAATCTCTGGAAACATTTCTGAAGTTCCGGGAAGTTGAAAAAACTGATGCGAGAAGACGAAGTAGAAGGCGACCTGCGGACCATTCGTAGACTACGAGGCTGACGACGTGTGGCCATGGATCGAGTAGAGTGGAGACGACTTCTTCGGACAGCGGAGGACAACAAGGCCTTAGCCTGATTAGTAAGATAAGGGAGAAGACGAAAGAACCTTTCAAGGGCAGCCAGAAGAAGCTTCAAAGGGAAGTCGAAATAGATTTCCGAAAGGAATTGTAAAATAACCTCGAAAATAACTTACAGGGTAAGGTGGACGAAAATTGCTAGGGAAAGTTGGAAGAAACTTCGAAGGGAAGATTAGAGAAATTTCAGGAATTAAAAATTAACATTTTGATGGATTTATTTGTTCACTGAATAAAAGATAAAAGTATTTCCCGATTTACAGGAAATACCGGGATGCGCCATCAGCTGTTTCTCGACCCCTTGGTAGCCAAAAAAAGGCGAGGAAATGGAAGCTTTTGTCGAAAGAATATCAAGCAGAATACATTTTTAAAGAAGATTTTTTTTAGAGCTGGCTCAAAAATTTGAATGTTTAAAAAGATAAAAGCCTCTCTCAATAGTTTCAGCGCGGGCGAGCAGTAATCATTTTAATTATTAAAAAAATCGGTATAAATCGGTATTAAAACTCAAAAATCGGTATTTTGAGTTACCGTATCTGTACATCGGTATCAAGTTTGAAAATCGGTATAAATACCGATAAATCGGTATATCTGGCAACGCTGCCTGGACCCTACCTATCGCCCCATCAACTCATGCACCGGGGACCAACGTATATGACGTCACTAGTCCGTTTCACCGAAGCTCGAAACAAAGACGGGAGAATGATTGAAAATGTGTTTGTAGACGCCGACTGAAGTTCTAGAATGCTGCAAAGCTGTTCGACTTTAACAGAAAAAGAAAGCTAGCAGTCTCTTCGTCGCATCGATTTTGTCGATTGAAGCTGATATTGTGACGCCCTGATTGCGTTACAAGATCCAAAATGGCCAATTTTTTTTTTAGCAAAAATGGGAATACATATTGCCAATAACACACAATTATGCAAAGTTTAATGCAAATCGGAGAAAATGGAGTTTTTTCCGATTCGTCATTTCGCGGGGAACTACGCTCTAGAGAAAGCTACAAGCACCTTCGAATATGCTTTGTAACAGAAAATGACCTCATGTAAATAATCGATATCGTAACCGTTTCCACACGATTGAATCGAAACCATCCAGAACCTACCTGGGATTCCTCCGAGTCATGCCGCGTATCGAGTAGCGTGTTAAGCGAACTGTTAACATCCTCGTCGATTTCGATTGGCACCAATGCTCCGATTCCTCCGTCCCGTTGCGTTTGCTGCAGGTGATCCTCCGATCTGCTGGTACGGAATCCGGCGGCGTCGCATTTGCGTACCACGCCACCGCCTGCACTTCCACCGCTTCCACCACCACCACCGCCACCGCCACCGCTGATACTGGCACTCATGAGACTGGAACTATGTCCAACAGGACCAGCACCGGCACCTCCACCACTATTGGAGGATTGATTGTTGCTACTATAATTATGATGGTGGTGGTGGTGATGGTGATGAGGATGATGGTGATGGTTACCGCTACCACTACGGCGAACGATTTCCTGCGTTCCGGATTCCGGACTAGTCGGCACTGAGTTTGCTAGCAGTAGATCCTTCTTCTTGAGTGAGGATGTGTAACCCTCCAGGATCGGAGCTGCCGACAGTGACGTCGGCGATGTTGGCACAGAGTAGCTCATTTCCGGTGAACTTTCACTCTTGACAGTGGTTCCACCACCGGAGGAAGCTGCTGATGAGGAAGATTTACTGCGTTCCTTCGAGTGGTAATGGCGTAGATCACCGTTGGTCGCCGCCGCACTACTGCTGTCAACGCTATCACTTCCTACGGAATTACCTGGCTGAACAGTGACACTATTATTACTGCCGTCCTGCCCGGGGCGAACGTCCCGCCTGGCAGAATTCCGTTCCCCGAGCAACGAAGACGACACACAGCCACTAGTGTTTGTTCGGTTGCTTCTTAGATCGATCAGATCGTCAGCGTTCTCCTCCTCCTCGTCCGCTGCGTCTACACTACTTCCCGCGCTATTGCTATTGCTACCGATAGTTCTTCCGGTATGCGCACTACCCGTTCCAGCTGCTTCACTGCTGCTATGTTTTGAATTCACTAACCCACCCTCCTCTTCCTCTTCTTCCATAAACCGATTATTGTTATGATTATTGTTGTGATTGCTGCCGTTACCACTCAGCTTCTTGCTACTGCTGTTCACTATCGACTCAATGGAACTACCCGTGTTCTGATCGGTGTGATCTTGCTGCCCCCCTTCTTGACTCCGACTCTTCTTGGATGAATGATCCTGTGGCAAACTACGCTGCTTGCTGTTGTCGTTGTTCTCCGAATAGCTATTACTACTACTGCTCGGCGGAGACGGCGATGAGTCGCACTTGGCATGCGGAGCGACCGCCCCGTTTTTCCGCTTCGTACTGGCCCGGTGACTTGGTGAATCTCGTAAACTGTCAATCTGTGGAAAAATGAACCCGATAAAACCTTCCATTTCAACAATTGCTGAGTATAATACCTTCTTTGCTTGTGGCAGTATTCCTGAACTCTGTGGTGTCCGTGAGAGATTCAGAATCAGATCACCGGTCATCATGAATGCCTCGAAGCCTTTTTTTGGTGGTTGCTGCTGTTGCGATGGTTGCTGTTCCTGCCTGAAGAACGGCGAAGATGAATTCGAATACTGATGCTGATGGCTTTGAGATGTCCCGTTAACAGTCGGTATCAACGATTGGCGGGGCGGTTTGATGCCATGCGGCGACTGCGGTGCACTCCAGGAATTTTTCGCCAGTACGGCTTGTGGTATCCGCGAGGGCCGACATGGCGGGTCGGACGAGCTGACACGATGGCCGAACCGGCCCGGTGTGCCGCCACTCGGTGGCTGGATTCGACTCGGACCACGTTCGGACAGGGGCGAAGCCGGCGAGTGACGGTGGTGAGTCGGCGAAGACGGGTTGGAATTTTGTAACTGGTGCCCGTCTGAGTGCGGATGTTGGTTGCTGATCGAAGCCAAGTACTTCCGGACGTGAGCTTTGATTTTGGGATCTGAAACGAGAAAACAACAATTGTAAATCGAATGCTCTAATGTAGGTAAATAAAACGACTACCATTCGCATTTGTAAAACTATCGGAATCAGCTAAAACAAAACGTTCTGTGCCTCGTGGAGAATCCATGTTTTGAGGGTAGGTAAAAATTAGTTTTCCACAGTTTTAAGTTTTAAGCATTCCCCAGTTCGACACAGTTAGTTATGACTGCTATGACTGGTTCTACCCGGAGCGAATATGAGAAACAAATTGAGATAAAGATAAAAGAGAGGCATTCTAGTGTATGACTGGGTCACGATTATTGCTCTGTATGAGTGGTAGGGGAAATAGGGGCAAGAAGGTCATCCTAACGATAGTGCGTGGATTTGGTGAATATTTATAGGAGTTTATGCACCGAATTGTAAGTTTATAACATTGCCTTCATGTACCGTGAAGTCGTGAACCCCCGTTAATTTGAACTTCTAGTAACCCCGACCATCAGAAAAGCTAGTTTCTGGTAATCTTATTTGCTGTGTTGTTTTGATTGTGCGTTCCGTTTCGGATCGTTCCATGTCACTTTATTTCATTCCATGAGCTAAATGACGCGAATTTTTAAGATATATTTATAGAATAATATTTATTTACAGGGTGAGGTCATCGATTTCACCGATGTATGCAATTCTCAATGGGTAAAATGAATATTTTAAAGTGTGTACAAATGACAGATTGTTTTGATAGCCATTGACGTGGAAATGGAGGATGTTATAAATCTGTATAAATGCGTGTGCTATATTTTAGAAACTGACATCTCTTCGAGTGAATGAAACAACATTTATTTATCGCAACATAATAGAGGTACACAGGAACCGTTCAATATCAGAGCCTAAACGCATCGCCAGGACACCAGAAGTGCAGGAAGTAAAACGTGTCTGCAAGCTGCGATTCATTTTCTTGACAAATGTGGTGGTAATTAAGATAAAGAGAGAGATTTGAATTTAGGTATTTATAGTTCATTTGTTTTGTTTAATACATTTTAGGTTATTCGTAGCATGTCCGGGCTGAGATTTGAACTCAAGTCTTTCAGGGTGAGAAGCATCCCGAGCAAAGCTGGAGGTCAAAATGAAATCAAAGTTTGCTGTTAAAATGTAACTTATTTTGAATATCCTAGTGGATCTCATGTTGGTTGACTTAGACACAGCAAAAATGAGAGCAACAAAAAACACTGTTGAATGGCCCGTATAACAATTACTTTTAGGAATATAATTTTTGATCAATTAAAGAAAATATTTTGTAATTTATTGATAATAATAGTAATAATAGTGAAAAAATTCGAAGTTCCGAAATCCTCACGTTCGCTACCACGAAAAGTGATGAAAGTACATCGATGCACCACCTGGGTGTCAGCGCCAACAATGAACCACCCCTCGTTCATCGACACCGATAAACGCCCAAAGGTCAAATGTATTGATGAATTTAGGCAAAGGTAAAGCTGGCCATGACTCATGAGACAGTTTTCAGATTTGCTATTACAAAACTGATGATGCACTAAAAAATATGCCATACGATTTGACAGGTAGCAAAACGTCATTATCATTTTCACATCATTTCCATCTGCTGGTCGACCGTCACGTAAAGTCATCAATTTTGGTAGCATGGCGTTGCATCGTCTTCCAGAGCCCCCTTATAAAAGCCGAGTGGCCAGTTTATTTTTTTCATTATCGGTAGCTTCTCAAAACCTTAATCGGTAGTTATCGGTAGATGGCTTTCCCGATACTGGAAACTTTTGTGAGCGGGGGGGGGCGATGACTCTGTGCTCCAGAACAATACACTGTCCTTCAGTTCTTCTACTTTAAACGTGTCGAAATCAATTTTTTCTATTTATAATCTAAAAATCTGTGATTCTCGGTAGGAAAAGTGAAAAATCGGTAGTTTTGAACCTTTCGTCTGTGAATCGGTAGGTACCCCGAAAATCGGTAGGTCTGGCCACCCTGGACAGGAGCCATCCTCTTTTTTCTGCAAGCGCGGTCATCATCAGCGGTCAACAAACATCGACGGAGGGGAATCAAAACAAACCAGAAATAGGGTAGAGCGCTACTTCGTCGTAATCGTTCATTTCCGTTCTATCGAGCAGAAAACATGTACCGATGCGTTCGTTCACAAGCTACAACACAAAGCCTATTAGAGCGTATTGTGTTAATATTTACACTCATTGTTCTCAAAACAAAAGAAGCGCTCTTAGCGAACTCGCTTTCTCTACCTTCATCCTTTGGACGAAGAAAATCCAATGGCGTTTCAATGCGTTTGGACGGAATTGAAACTCGTAGGACGAATTTGGAATCAAGAAGCAGTGTTAGATTTTTAACAATATCTCAACAATGTGTGGCTCTTTATCAAATTCAAAGGTACTTATGAAAAGGAGAATAAATTTAGAAGTCATCTTTGATAGAAACATTTCCTTTATTGTTAAAACCCGTTCAAGAAAGAGATGTAAAGCGTGGGTTGTGCTTAGTAGGACGGAAATTAGATCAAAAACCCTAAGTGAAAGTAAAAGTTAAATTGATTTTTAGCTTGTGCTGTATATTAAATGAATTAAGTAGTTTAAGACTAAAATTTCTTAAATAAAGTAGTGTTATCATAACGAGCAACTCGCGTGTGAATATCTACGTAATTTTTTTTTTTTTTTTTTTTATATATTAATTTATTTGTACAGGCTCAATCGAATAAACTTTACAGAGCCGAGTTATCATTTGCATTATACATGAATAATGTCTTAAATCTAGAGTTAAAGGAATTTAACCGATTACTCGCGGTCGTCTCGAGGTTAGTGGAGATTTACAAATTTTTGGATGGGGAAAGGGAGAAGGAGGTTTGAAATATGATTTATTATACAAAATTTTTTAATTAATCCTAAAACATGAACTTATTTCTATTCATCTTGAAAACAAACATTAAAAAAAAACTACACGCACAATACACAAACTAAACACAAGGTTAATCAAACTTACAATCTAAGGTCAGTATTCTTGAAGTAAACATATATGAGTTTCATAAACTCCAGATCACGTCTAGCTACTATCTACGTAATTGGAGTGCCCGACATTATACTGAAACGCCCGAAAAAGAAGAAATTTGTGTATCTGCCGGTCGTCCTGGGATTATCATCGGCTAATGCAATTTTCTGCTGCTGCTCGCAGTGCTCTCGACACCTCATTTTATGATACTTGATTTTTTTGAAAAAAAAATCCCTTTTCGATCAGAACTTTCTAGAATGCTTCAGAGGAATACCATGCATACATTCATGGTAGCATTGATGCCTTTATTTACAAAATATATTGATAGTGGCACTATTGCCCCAGGTGACCTTCTTGCCCCAATTTCCCCGTACACGAGGCTGCTGAACTGATAGCAGCATCAACATAGCTCGTAGCCTGTTAGATAAAAATGGTTTGAACCATTTTCAACCCCGCGTAACGCGCGCACATAACCATGAACATTATTTTGATTAGAAGCAGAATTCAATGTCGTGTAAACATTGAAATTAATGGTAGAAAAGTATAATTTTTGGGATTAACAAATAATGACTCAGCAGACAGATGCGAGTCCATATTTAAATCAAAAACGCATAATGTCCTGCAACTTGATAAACACGCTTCAAAACATAAATCAGACCTTGTATTAGTATAACAGACGCTCAAAAGCACAACAAATTTTCGTTCTACGTCATGTTACTTTATTTTTACATTGCTATCGCGGCATATCTTGTCCACGCAAGTATCATCCACAAGCTTTAAATCCCAAGCGACACATTTCGCGAGTAGTGGGTGGATCTACCGATGGGTAGATATCGATATGGAAGCAGTGTAAACAAAACAACAGAATGAGCTTCGTTCACCTCGGCAGTGGATTTCGAGCTTAGTCCGATACCACATGATAAGCCTTGCCGGTGACGACACGACATAACCTAGGCATACATAGGTTCAGTTTGGTTTTACTTCGTAGACTTTTGGGATACTTTATCGTCACGTGTGGCGGGATTTTGTAGTGAGGAGATTCTTCGAAATACCACAATAACCTACATCACCGAGCGCCTGTCCATCATGCGGAGGTTCGAATCAAACAAAGTCTGAGTGGTATCCAAGGGTATAGCGGACTAAAACTGCTGAAAAAGTTGACTACTTTCCGTGACCTACACTAACGGTTACACAGGCTGCCATGGATTCCTTCGAGTTTTTCACACAAGAATAGGTGAAGAAAACCAAATTCCCTGGTATTCCTTGATATTCCAGTAGTTAAGTTCGGTGCCTAACGTTTTTGGCATTTTATAGAATGCAAAAAAGACAAAAATCACGTGTTGCCAACAACGGGATTTTTCTAAATTCACGCATTTTGAACGTGGTAAGCGCCAGGTAATTGGTTCAAGCAGTTAGCACCTGGATGTTACTAGGAATGATAGCGATGTCTGCATGAAACTGCAACCATCTCCATATAAATCTACAAAATAAAAGCTTGCTTAATTGCTTCAAGGTTTCAGCATCATCCGTTTCTTACTTCGAGTTATTCCACGATACGTGAAGAAATGCTTGACATGGCAATTAACTAACCATTAGAAGTTTTTTTTTCTGACTGTTTCCGAACTCAACGCTTGGGACAGACATTCACCCAGTTATTCTACATCTTACATTTGAAGCACTTGTCTTTAATCCCATTCTATTGTTTTCGCTTGAGCACATTTTGAGACCCAGCTCCGCAGGAAAATCGTAAAAACAGAGCTTTCACTTTCAAAACCCTGTAAGTCAATTCGATCTCAATTGCAATAGCAACAACATCACAGTATAGAAACTTCACTGAGAAGATAATTTTTCGAGCTAACCAGGTTTACAATGAAGACCTAGAATACTCAATAAAACCACTATATGCTGTCAAGGCAATGCTTGCCTACGTATCTTTGAGTCATTCAATCATAAAAGTGCTACTCTAAGCGATGAAACAAAAAAATCGATCCAAGCAAGACCATCCTAAAT